GCAAAGAGGCCCCTTGTGAGCTCCCGCCATTGCCACAAAGGTGCCCAACAAGAAGTGCTCCAACTTCCACTCACCGTCCACAGACTGTTTCTATCCACGTGGGGGCAGGGGGCGGGGGAATTAAGCGACTCAGGCCTAATTTGTAACTGATGCACAATAAACTTTAATTGCATAAAGCATCCAATCTGATGAAATCTGACACCTTTACACAGCCAAGAAACCATCAGCACGATCAAGATAATGAACTAATCCATCCCACCCAAGTTTCCTCTGGCCTCTTCCCTGGGGAGAGTTTCAAAGTCTTTTAAAAGCCTCACCCTAGCACCAGAGAACTTTCTACATCCTGATAGGAGGTGATCACACAAGTGTTAAAGTCCTTCAAGCTGTTCCCCTAAGTTGTGTGCACTTGGCTGTATGTAAGACATAAATCCATCCTGCTGTCTGGAAAGTGGACCCAATGGCTGGAGCTTCAGCAGTCATTATGCGCCACGAGGTGGTCTTAGGCACAGAAGCCACACATGGGTAGAACCATGATGTGGGCGGAGTTTAGGTGTCTAACTTTTACCAGGTTGCCTGCCACTGTACCTCTCTATAGGCAAGAGAAATAAATCTTTATCCTGTTTAAGCACCTATAGGGGAAAAAAAGAAAAACCCAACATGGCATAGAGTAATTTACTGAATCTTTACAATGGTTCCATGAGGTAGGCATTGTTGCTATTCCTGTTTTACAGATAAGAGAATGAGACCTAGAGAGACGAAGTCATTCACCCAAGGTCACACAGAGAGTGAAGGCAGGGCTATGGTGTGAACTTGGATGTTCTGAGTGTTTGCAAGACACGCCACATGCCTGTGGACATGCTGTTCCCCCTGTCTAGGATTCTTTTCCCACATCTCCTACCCACCAACTCCATCACACTCCTCCAGCCCTGGCTTGACCATTATCTCCTCGGTGGGCAGTTACCCACCCTTTCTTCTCCCCCCGACTTGAGGAATCTACGGGTTTTCCACCATGCTTAGTCAACTGCCATTCTCGTAATGATAACTTGATCTTCTTTCCTGGTCTAGATCATGAACCAGGAAGGGTGGAACCATTCTCAACCCCATTGTGTCCCCAGTAACCAGCACATAGTAGGTGTTCAACCATGTAAAGCCACCAGCCCCCTCCTAGTCTTGAATCAGAAACCGAGCCCGTTTCCCCCTGCTCGTCCCTTCCCACCTAGGAAAATCACCCCAGGAGATCTGGCTGAGCCACCTCTCACCTGGTCCCTCCCCCTCATCCTGAACCCATGCCCTGAGTGTGGTTACCAGATTTACAAATAAAAACACAGGACACCAATTAAATGTGAATTCCAGATAAATTAGGTGTCATTTTTTAACATAAGTATGCTCCCATGCAAAATTTGGGACGTACTTACACAAAACAAGAATATTCATCGCTTATCTGGAATTCACATTAGTAGGGCATCCTACTGCTGTCAGACACACAGTGTCTGACAACCTTAGCCCTAAACCCCGGCTGCCCCACTCCCACATCACCCCATGCCAGCTCACCCCTCAGGTGCTGCTGCTGCTGCTTGTCCAGGGGGCTCGAGGGCCGCCCACCCATCCTGCTGCCGTCTCTAGGGGCTCCCTCGAGAGCAAAGCAGACACTCCCTCCCCTCCCACAGCTCCCAGGTTTCTGGGTTCAGGGGCACTCCGGGAGCCGGGCAACTGGTGAGGGGCTTGGATGCTGCTGAGACCAGCTGCCTGGGAAGCCAGAGCATGGCCCCTGTGTGAATATGTGTGTCGGGGGTGGGAGGGAATGCCCGCCCCACTCCTACCCTGCCCTGCCCCACCCTGCACCTGCGTCCTCCTGGTTCCCCTGGGGCCAAGGCCTTCAGAACTGCTGGTTTCTTCAGGGGCTGCCCTGGCAGCCCCAGGGGGTGGGTTGGGGGTATGGAAGACTAGAATCCTAGCTTTGGAGGAGGGGTATGCAGGGCCAACGCCAGGCAGGACTGGCAGCCGTTGGTATGTGGGGCAGAGAAGGGGGATGGTCAGGATGGGGCATCTAAATCCTGGTTCCCCCTTCCACTGTGCCTACCCCCTGATGGCTGATGCTGGGTTCTGAGAGGATCCAGCATTGACCCAGCAGCCTCCAGGAACCTCAGACTGGGGAGGCAGAGCTGGACAGACACCCCCAGTTCCTGGGGTCAGTGCTGGGGCAGGGGGAGAGGGTGGAGGGCTGTTGGTGTGCCATGGACTGGTGCGATGCGTCCCTTGTGTTCCTGTTTTGTCAGCCTGTCCCCAGTCAATGCACATAGCACTGGACTGGGTCAGGCTAGTTGGATCTCCCTGCCCCTTCACCTGTTTTTCCAGTGGCTGGCAGAGAGCAGCCCTCAGTTGGGTGAAGGAAGGGAGGGAGGGAAGGAGCAGAATCTGTATTCCAGGCTGAAAATACGATCGCATGGGAGTCTCACAGGCTTTCAGATGAGGGGAGTGTTGTGTTCCAGTGGCCGGAATGTGGATGTGATGGCTGGAGCATGTGCAGTCCACCTTGGACCATGAGGTAAAACCCACATAATGACAATGGCCCAACTATGATGTAGGAACTGGGGGTCCGTCATCCCCAGAACTCTTGGAAATCTGAAACTCGACACCCATTAAACAGCTCCCCATTCTCATGACATTGCTCCACCAACCCTGGGTGTCCTCCCTCCAGAAAAAGAGCTAACCCTCCATTTTGTTTAAGCCACCAGGAACATCTGACTGTAATCCTCACCCATGCCCCAGGATTCATTTCTCCTCTCAACAAACATCACTCCTTGCCAGCCTGAGTGTCATCCTTGAACTAGGGGCCAGGGATGCAGAAGTGGGCAAAACTGACCGTGGTCTATCTCCCATGGACCATCAGTTGGCACACCAACAAACCTGTCAGATAATGATAGAGGTAAGAAAGAAAAATAGAACAGGAAGAGGTAGAAAGTACCAGGGGTGGAGTGGGATTGGGGAGGTGATGTTGCACTGCGACCTAAAGCAAGTGAGGGCCCACGCTGCGCAAAGAGCTGGAGAAAAAAAGAATACTGGGTCGTGGGCACAGCATGCACAAAGGCCCTGAGGTGGGAATGTGTTTGACAGGTTCCAGTAGAGCACAAGGCAGGCAGGTTAGTGAGGGGCAGACACAGGCAGGTCTGGAGCAGGGAGAGCTGTGGCTACAGGGAGAGGGTTGGAGAGGTAACACGTTCCAGAGGCCCCCCACATGGGGTCCCCAGGCCTGTCTCATCAGTTCCCTCTGCTTCTTGGCACCCCCATCCTGGAACACTGGGGTCATGGCCACCTGCTGTTGCCTAAGCCTGTGGCTGGGGTGCTTTCTCTGCTTTTCTTCATGTTTCCACCCCGGCCCTGTCCCACTTCCTCACTCTCACATCTGAGTGACAGACCCAGACAAGATGTTGAAGGAAACTTCACTTCCTGTGGTTTTGGCTTCGGGGTTTCAACCCCCACAGCCTGATCAGGTGCCTCTGCAGGATGCCCCCAGCCTCCAAACCTGGCAAAGCTCAAGCATGGCTGAGGGCCCCCACGCGCCCACCAGCCTCCTCCATGAGGCTGACGGGTGGGCCATGTGCAGTCACACTCCGGGAAAATGCTACAGCGCCGGCATGTCACTGACTGGGGCTTCTCGGCATATTCAAGGCTCTGAGAAGGCCTGCAGCAGAGCGGGACACAGAGGCTGCCACTGGCCCGGGGTGTGCAGGGAGAGCTCAGTGAAAGTGTGTAGTGGGCTGAATGGTGTGCCCCAAAAGGATATGTCCACAGGCTACTATCAGGAAAACCAAAACACGTGTCGGTGAGGATGTGAAGAAATTGTAACCCTTGTGCCCTGCTGCGATGGTGCAGCTGCTGTGGAAAAGGCTATGGGGGTTCCTCAAGACGTAAACATAGAATCACCATATGAATCAGCCATTCCACTTCTAGGAATATCCCCGAAAGACCTGAAAGCAGGGTCTTGAGATATTTGTCCATCTATGTTCACAGCAGCTCTATCACAATTAAGCAAAGTGTGGGAGGCACCCAAGTGTCTGCTGACGGATGGATGGAAAAATAGGGGCAGGTGCATACACTGGAATATTCTTCAGCCCTAAAGAGGAAGGAGATTCGGACCCAGGTTCCAACACAGATGACCCTTGAGGACGTTATGCTGAGTGAAAGACGCCAGCAACAAAAAGGGCAGACTCTGTACAACGCCACGTACAGGAAGTGCCAGGAGTAGTCCGATTCAGAGACACAGAAAGTTGAATTGTGGGTGCCAGCGGCTGCGGAAAGGGAGAATGGGGAGCTGTTTAACGGGTGTAGAGTTTCAGATTTCCAAGAGTTCTGGGGACGGACGGTGGGGACGGCTACACAACAGAGAGAACGTACTTAATGCCGCTAAACTGGACACTTAGAAGTGGTTCGGATGGTAAATTGTTATTTTCTCACACACACACACACACACACACACACACACACACACACACGGAGGATATGTCCCCTGGAACCTCCGATTGTGACCTTATTTGCAACTGTAATTCTTAAGGATCTTGAGAAGAGTTCATCCCGGATTTAGGGTTGTCTGATGTCCACTGGTAGGTGTCCTTACTAGAACGGGAGAGGACACACACAGAGACACAGGGGAGAAGGACATGTGACAAGAGCGGCAGACATTGGAGTGATGTGTCTACAAGCCAAGGACGGCCGAGGGGTGCTGGCGGCCACCAAACACCCAAAGAGAGGCACGGGACAGATTCTCCCTCAGAGCCTCCAGAAGGATCCAACCCTGTGGGCACCTTGATTTCAGACTTCTGACCTCCTGAACTGGGCAACCATAAGTTTTGTGGTCCTTTGCTCCGGCAGCCCCGGGAAACTCATCCAGGGCACCCCATCCCTGCCCTCCCCCTTGCTGGGCCAAGGGCTTCGGGTCACACGCTCAGCCCGGGCATCCCCGCTTCCACCGCCCACCAAGGACCACGAGACAGTGGAGACTTCAAGCAAACGCTCCCTTTAATATCTGGTCACGCAGAGCCATGGCCGGTGGGCTGAGCACCCCGGGGGCACAGGGCTGGCGGCCGGACCCTGCGGCCTTCCTGTGGCACCACGCAGCTTTTTGGAAAATGAAGCCTGGAGCGGTGGTGGCAGCGGGCCCCAGCCCAGGAAGGTCCCGGCCCACGCGGGTCGTTTGCGGTCCCCGCCGCGGTGTCCCTCGGGGCCAGCTACAACGTGGAATGCTTCTCAAAGGGCACCGTCAGGAGTCCGGCCGCTGCCTCGTCCAGGAACCAGCAAAGTTTCCCAGTGTGGGGCTGGACCAGGGCGGCGGGGAGCGGGTTCTCCTCCTTGCCCTCCAAAATGCGCTGCATTGAAGAAAGGGCAGGAGCGTGAGCCCCACCAGCACCCCCAGCACCCCTCAGAGCTCCTGGGTCCCCCCCACGGACAAGACTCTCCTCCTCTCAAGACGTGATGCTGCCCTTCCAGCTGCCTTAGCTTCAAACAATCAGCAGGTCCCTTCCTTCTCTATCGTCTGTGACCGCCGCCAAACAGGGGCACATCAGCACACCTGCCCTGCACGGACCGGAGTCACTCTTGCGCTCTGCAGATCACACCTTGTCTCTGTCACAACCACTCAGCCCTGCTGTTACACAGCAAAAGCAGCAGCGGATGCCACATCGACAAACGGGCACAGCCTGTTCCTGTGAAGCCGTATTTACGGACACTGCAATCCGAATTTCATAGAATTTTCACAGCTCAGAGAATATTCTGCTTTTGCTTTTTTTTTTTTTTCCCATCCGCTTTCAAATCCTTCTTAGCTGGTGGGATTTGGTCCCCTGGGCTGTCGCGTGCTGATCCCGTGACGTGACCTTACGATCAGCAGGAATCATAAATACCGCTGTCTGATAGCTGGGCCTGCCCCATGCACTCTATCATTTACAGCCCTGTGAGGGCACCTCTATTCCCACCCCCATTTTACAGCTGTGGAAGCTGAGGCTTGGGCGGCCTCACATGAGTGTACTCTGAGCTAAAACTGCCTGGACTGCCCCTCAGGAGGTCCACAGGGAGGAGCCCTCCCAACCCACCTTGCAGATGGGAATGTTGAGGCTTGGCGAGGGGACTGAAGTGGCTGCCCAAGGCCATGCTGGGCATCACTGGCAGGCACGCTGGTCTGCTGGATTCTTTACAGTCTGTACCCTTAACCCAACACCAAGCCACCCCGTGAGGACATCAGTACTCAACAGTTTGGGAGGATGAATTATTATTTGTAAATTTTTTAAAAATATTGCCAGTTTCTTCCATAGTTGGTCTTTTTCAATGATGGCAATTAAAATATCTTTTTTATTATTTAGTTTACTTTTAATATCTTATTTATTCTATATTTTCCTAAAATACCATGTGTAACTGTCTTTTTTTTTTTTCTTATTCCTCCTTTTTTACTTATTCCTGCCATATAATTTTCTTCCCTGATTAATTTTGCCAGGGGTCTATCTTTGGGATCTATTACCATTAAGCTTTTAAGAATATTAACCAATTCATTAGTTTCTTTTTTAAGATTGTATTTTTTTTTTTTAATTTTAGAGAGAGAGAGAGAGTACGAGTTGGGGGGTGGGGGGAGAAGCAGAGGGAGAGGGAGAGGGAATCCAAAGCAGACTCTGCACTGAGGGCACAGCCAGAAATGGGGCTCAATCTCACAACCATGAGATCACCACCCCAGCCAAAACCAAGAGTCAGACACGTAACCCTGAGTCACCCAAGTGCCCCTTAACCAATTCATTAATTTCTGATTTTAATGTCATGTACTCCTTCCACTGACTTTTTCTAGATTTATAGTATTGTTCTTTTTCTTAAGTCTAAGGTGCTAAATTCATTTATTTTAACTATTTTTTTATTTAACAATTTTTTAAAAGAATTTATTTTTAAGTAACGTCTATATCCACTGTGGGGCTTTGAACTTACACCTCTGAGATCAAGAGTCACATGCTCTACCAACTGAGGCAGCCAGGCGCCCCTATTTAATACTTTTTAAAACTGCCTTTTCAAAGCTATAAATTTACCCCTGAGTGCAGCTTTGGCCTCATCTCATCAATTTGATTTTGTAATTGTTTATTCCTAACTAGCCTGTAATTATAGTTTCCATCTCCCCTTCAGCCCAAGAATTACTCAAGTACCTTGGGACCCGGTGCTTCCAGCACAGTAATATCTGGGGCCATATTCCATCCCTGGGCTCACATGCCTTTGATCTTCTTGGGAATAGGGCCCTTAGCCATTACCTTCAGGACAGCTGCCTTGCCTTCTCCAGTTGCCACGAAGATGACGGTTCGGGCAGCATTCAGCACAGGAAGTGTGAGGGTCACACGCTGTGGTGGTGGCTTTGGGGAGTCGCTGATAGGGGCTACGATCTTCTCCCGCTCCTGGGGGATGGAGACAGAAGGACAAGGTCCCTTCAGATTCTCGAGCACTCACACACACCTGGCATGGTCCATCCATCATTCCATGCCCTCCTACCGGTCCTGTGGTACTTGATTTAAACACTCGTTTTAAGACAGGTGAACTGAGGCTCAAAAGGGTTAAGCCCAGCCAACTGGCAGAGTCTGACTCAAACCCCACTGTGGGTACCTCCTGGCCCCCCAAAAGTGGCCCTCCCTCTGGAAGCCCCAGTCAGCAGAGGTCCGTGCGGTGTGCTCACCTGCAGGAGGGGGTGGTCTGGGAAGAGCGAGCAGGTGTGGCCATCAGGACCCACCCCGAGAATTAGCAGGTCAAAAACTGGAATGGAGTCCCCTTGGAAGGCCTGGGTGGGGGAAAAGATAGTCCTGCGACATTGTGGGGGGTACTCGAAAGGCACAAAGAGACAGTGGTCAGAAAAAGAATCCCAAGTGGGGCTGTAACACAGGGAGCAACGCTCAGCCTCACCTGCATGAACGGGACTCTATGAGGTTCCACGTTTCACCCATCTGACTGGCCAAGAGTCTGGGGACACAACGTCCCCACGATGTGAGAACCCAGGCCCACTCCCAGAGGGTCAGAAGCCGGGCTACCCTAAGGGACCCAAAGGCGGTGCTGTGGCCTCTCAGAAGGGGGATCCTCAATGGCATCTGTCCAAGGTGGGGCGGGATTTGCCAACCACCCGTGGGGGGAGTTTTTGCTGCTGACAATCATGCAGCACCACCCGCAGGGCTGCTCCCTCACCGCTGTGTGGATGAGGCCTCCCTGGGGCCACACCGGGGGACTCACCTGTCTCAGCTTCTTGGCATAGTCCTCGGCCGCCTCCTCCACAGGCAGCTGGGGGTTAATGGTGATCACCTGGCTGTCAGGAATGGGCAGCCTGGAGAGCAAGTGGGTCTGCAGCAGACGGAGGGACAAAGTCACCCAACAGCAATACACGGCTCCCAGAGGCACGAGGTTTGCACGGGTGACCGCCTGGATTCTCCAGGCGAGGATGCCTCCAGGACAGGACCGTCCTTACACCCACCTCCTCTGTGAGTCGGGATCCCAGTGCCATTCCACCAGGAGTCTTTCAAGTCCAGCCTGACTGGGGGCCTCCTGTATATAAGCCACTGCCCTTGCCTGGGAAACTCCTATGCATCCTTCAGAGCACCTCCTCCGAGCATCCACACCCATGCCTGCACCTCCCCCACATGGCTGCGTGGAGGTACCACATGTGACGGTGATAAGCACCGACTTCTCTTCCGGCTGCCACTGCAGGGTATCCCTGCCCAGCATACAGCACACACCCTGGCCTCGGGAAGGTGGATTTAATTTCTATGGAAGCACCTGGAGTCAGGCCTCCTGCAAGGGGGACGGCTCTAGCCCTTTCCCTCATCGCCCCAGATGAGCCTTTGATCTGCTCCAGGAGGGACACCAGTGACCCCTACCTTGGTGCCTCCCTTCACAGGATCTTGGAATCCTGTGCCATGGAGGCAATGCCAAGTTGAGCCACGGAGGAAAAGGAGGAAGCCGCAAAAAATATTGTATTAGAAGGGGCATGGGACTGGGACATGGAGTAAACACACCAGACCACATAGGGCTGCCTGCCCTGAACACTGGCCCGAGGAGTAAGAGCTCTGTATGAAGGGTAATGGAAGCCAAGGCGGGTGTGTGAGCCAAGGAGGGACAGGGTCAGATCTGTTGTTGGAAAGACCTCCTGCTTTGTCCAAGGTCCGCATCGATACACACCCTCAGGGATTACATTGAGCAAAGCCAGTGGGGAATCTCAGTGCCCTGTTTCTGTCACGTGATCCTCTCCTTAGCTGCCCTTCCCCTAAAGGCTCAGAGCCATGCCCTCCTCCTCCACCTGGCCTCCTGCCAGAGAGCCAGGGGCTGGAGCATCAGTTAGGCAGTTTCCTAGAAATGGAACTGCTGGTTGATTCTCTCTTAACATCCCTCAGGCACTGAGGAACCATTCCCAGGAAGGAGGTAGCCCCAGCTAATCCTCCCAGCCCAGGCAAAGCCCTGGCCTCAGCAGCAGAAGATGCATAGAGCACACAGGCTGAGCAGGAGAACACTCCCGCTGAGAGCCCCAAGGTGCACCAGATCCGTCCTTGAGGATAGAAGCAATCCTGTGCTCCTATACTGGGTTGACTTGTGGCCCCTCAAATTAATGTCCACCAAGAACCTCAGAAAGAGACCTTATTTAGAAGGGTGTCTTTGCAGATATCATTAGTTGACTTCATAGTAGAGTAGTGTGGGCCCTGAATCCAATGACTGGTATCCTTATGAGGAGAAGACACAGAGAGAATCAGAGAAGGCCATGAAGACGCAGATACAGAGACTGGAGGCCAAGGACCACCAGGAGCCCCCAGAGGCTGGAAGAGGCCAAGGATCCTCCTCTTGAGCCTCCAGAGGGAGTGTAGCCTTGCCAACACCTGGATTTCAGGCTCTGGCCTCCAGAACTAAGAAAATAAGTTCTTGTTGTTTTAAGCCACCCAATTTGTGGTCCTTTGTTAGGGCAGCACCAGGGAAGTCACGTGACTCCCCTCACAGGGAACCGGCAGAAGCAGCAAATCTTTGCCTCACATCTGTTCCCATGGCTTCGAGTTTGCCTTTGCCATACCCTCTGCCCCGGCTCTGCCCCTGGCCAGGTCCTCACACCTGCTGGCCTCAGCTCAAACATCATCTCTCAAAGCACCCCTGCCCCTCACCATCCTCAAGGACCTTCCCAGGGCACTTTCTCTCTCACACTATCTTTTGTCCACACTGCATTATGTGAATGCTCTGAGTGGATTTCCCTGATTTATTTCCCTGTGTGTTGGTGCCCGATGCCCCTCTGAGCCCCATGAAGGAACTGCCCAGCACCCCCGTGTCCCCAGCACTGGATACAGGGACATACAACGAACATCCCCGCAACATTTTTTTTAACTTTTTTTTTTTTTTACTGTTTTGTTAGAATTTTGTTACTTGAGCAAGTACAGTTTGCCTAATTAAAAAAAGAGTTCTTCAAAAAAAAAAAAAAGTTCTTCAAATTCATGCAAGGTAACAAGAAAGAAATGCGAGCCCAGTTTCTAATGAAGCTCTTGAAGACACAAAGGGAGGCCCCTGCCCCTGAGATGTGCCCCAGGTGCTGTCTGGGGGGTCCGGTTCAAACCCTGGCTCCCCTGCTGGTCATCAGGAGACCCTGGCACACAAGCTCTCCTCTTCTGGCCCCAGTTTCTCCATCTATGAAATGGAGGAAATAACGGCCCCGACCTCATAGGTTATTGTGAAATTACATGAGATGATGTGGATAAAATGCTTGGTAATCAGTAGACCTTCCTTCTTATGACAAAACAAACAACAACAACAGCAAAAAAACAGGAAATCATCAGCTCAAGCTTCTATGCAAAGAGAAGGCAACACACCCAGGACCTGAGCAACCTGAAGCTTCTGGCTAAGCCCGCCCCTTCCACACCTCCCTGGGCGTGTCTTCCCCGTCCAGGGCAGGAGGAGTTGGCTCAGATGCAGCCGGAGGACCCCAGGATCCAGCCACCAGTGCGCCTCCTCCAAGCTTCAGTTTCCCTGATTCTATAGGACCTGAGGCCACAAGCCAAAGATAACCAGCCTGCGAGGTGATCAGAGCCGAGAGCTGCGTGTAGATCATCAAGAAGGCGTCCAGGTTGGAGACGAGAAAACTGAGACCCAGGCTCCACACCAGCTACCTCCTGCCTGGCCCTTCCCTCACTCTGCCTTGCAAGCTACCAGGCTGGGGCGCCCGAACTTCCCTAGGTCCCTGGAATGGGCCACTCTGTTTCACCTCCACGCCCTCGCCCAGGCCGTTCCCTCTACCTGGCCACCGGATAAAGCATAAAGAGACTTCAGGGCCCCTACCGGCCCACTCGGGTGGCAGTGGAGGTGGGAGTTCAGCGCACCCAGCAGACCATTCCCAGACAGTGGCAGAGGGCCGACTGTGACCCTATGCGACCCCCGTGGCGGGGTTCAGGAGGTGGGCGCGGCCTTCTTGAAATGACCCCCGGCGGCCCCCGTAGTCGGGTGAAGCGGTGGGCGCGGCCCTCTCGGCGTGACCCCCGGCGGCCCCCGTAGCTCTCACCCGGTAGAGACCGTACGTGCTCTCGGCGTGCTCGAAGGGCACGAGGCGCTCGTCGCAGAAGCCCACGGTCCAGCGCGCGAGGCTGGCGGGGCCGGCGGGGGCGGTGGCGGCGGGCAGCTCACGGGCCAGCATCGAGACGAGGCTGCCGCCCGACAGGCCGAGCGCGAAGCGGGCGCGAGCCCCCGCCAGGCAGCACGCCGCCCGCTGCGCCACCAGTTGCGCTAGCGACGCGCCCAGCTCCTGCGGGCTCGAGAAGACCGAGATGAGGTCCGGGGCCGGCGCGGCCATGGCGACGGCGGCGGCGGGGAGGCGGAAGCGCTCCGGGCAGCCAGCAGTGCGCCTGCGCGAAGGTCGGCCCTGCCACACGGCTGTCAGTACCTTCGGGCGGCCGCCTCTGGCACATGCGCAATCCCACGAGTGAAGTCGCGGCAGGGCCGGGCTTTCGATCCGAAGGGGGCTCCTTGATTCTTTGCACGCTGTTCCTGGGCTGGAGCGGGCGGAACCCGTGCGATTGCTCTCAGCCTCGTGGTGTCAGGGCGGGGCCGAAGAGATGACCCAGAGCTGGGGTCCCCAAGAGGGGATTGCGGGGTGGAATGGTGGGAGGAGATGGGAGATTTCCTGGAGGAAGGCACCTTTTGGTGGACTTGGAAGTTCCGGAACCTTAGAACATTTATCTTGTTGCTCTTTGTTGTCTCCCTCTTTAATTAAAATATAAGCCACATGAGGACAGGGTTTGTTTTGTTCACTGATGCCTGGAAAGCCCCCTGAATCAAGCCCGGCGCAGAGTTGGGCCTGAAAACGTACTTGTTGAATTGCTTCTGCAAATGCTCTCTTGGGATCTCTTGTGTCTTTCTGAGGACCCAGAGAGGCCTCCATCCTTGCTCTTGCTTGGAGAAGCTCCTAGAATGGGGCAAATGGGTCTTGGCTGATGAGAAAGGGTGTTCCAGGGAATAGCATGGGCAGAGAAGTCTGGAAAGGAGAGAAGGCCTGCTGGGCCCGGGGAGCTTGGCCACTTATGGGGCTGGGGGGGATAATTCAGTAGCCTATAGTAAATGCAAGGAGCCATGCATAGGTAATACATCTTTAAAATCAGTAACAAATTAAGGAAACAGTCCATTTACAATAGCATCAAGAATAAGGTACTTAGTAATGAATAAGAGAATTGCAAACCTTGTGCACTGAAAACTACAAAACTTTGCTGAGAAAAAAAGATGATCTAAATAAATGGAAGACAGCTTACGTTTTTGGATTGGAAGTTTAAATACTGTTAAGATGGCAGTACTCCCCAAATTAGTATATAGATTCAATGCAATTGCTATCAAAATTCGGATTTCCTTTTTTGTGGAAATCGACAAGCTGATCCTAAAATTCAATATGGAATTACAGGAGGCCCCAAGTAGCCAAAACAGTTTTGAAAAAGAACAAAGTTGGAAGACTTACACCTCCTGATTTCAAACTTACTACAAAGCTGCAGTAATCCAGACAGTGTAGTGTTAGCATAAGGAGAGACATATCAATGGATTAGAACAGAGAACGCAGATATAAACCCATACATCTGTGGTCAATCTTTTTTTTTTTTTTTATGATTCACTTATTTGAGAGAAAGTGCTGTACATGAGCAGAGGGAGGGGCAGAAGGGGAGGGAAAGGGAAAGAATCTGAAGCAGACTCCATGCTGAGTGCAGAGCCCAACGTGGGGCTCAATCTCACAATCCTGAGATCATGACCTGAGCACCCAGGCACCCCAGTGTGGTCAATGAATCTTTAACAAGGGTGCTGGGATCATTCAATGGGAAAAGAATGCTCCTTTCAACAAATGGAACAAGATAGTTACATGCAAAAGAATGAAGTTAGACCCTGTAGTGGTAGAACAGTAGACACCCCCCCCCCCAACCACCAAAGGTGTCTACACCATAATCCTCAGAACCTGTGAATATGTTGGGTTACTTGGCAAGAGGAAATAAAAGTTGCAGATGGAATTAGGTTGCTAATCGGTTGTCCTTAAAATAGATTACCTGGATGGGCCCCATGTAATCACCAGGGTCCTTATAAATGGAAAAAGGAAACAGAGGAGGGAGAACCAGAGGAATGACAGCATGAGAAAGACTCACCCACTGTTGTTGGCTTAGAAAATGGAAGAAGGGGCAATGAGCCAAAGAATGTGGGTGGCATCTAAACACTGGAAAAGGCAAAGGAAATGGGTTCTCTCAACCTCTAAAGGGAATGCAGCTGTGCCAATGCCTTGATTTGAATCAAGTGAGATCCATTTCTGACTTCTGACCTTCAGACTGTAAGATAATAAATTGGTGTTATTTTAAGCCAATAAGTCTGTGGTAATTTGTTATATCAGCCCTGGAAAACTAATACAGATCCCCACCTCACACCATATACAAAAATTAAAATGGATTGGGGTGCCTGGCTGGCTCATAGCATTTGACTCTTGATCTGGGGGTTGTGAGTTCGAGCCCCATGTTGGATGTGGAGATTACTTAAAATCTTAAAAATTAAAATGGATCAAAGACTTAATGTAAGAGTTGAAACTAAAAACTCTTAGAAGAAGAAAACAAAGGCATAAATCTTCCTAACCTTGGGTTAGACAAGGACACCAAAGCACAAACAATAAAAACCAAGTAGATGAACTGGACCTCATCAGAATGGAAAACTTGTGTTTCAAACGACACCAGCAAGAAAGTGAAAAGACAACCCACAGAATGGGAGAAATTTGCAAATCATATATCTGATGAGGGTCTAGTGTACTGAATATATTAAGAACTCTTACAACTTAACTTTTTAAAAACCCAGTTTAAAAACGGGCAAGGGTTCCGAATAGACATTTCTCCAAAGAAGATACAGAAATGGCCAAGGACCACATGCAAAGATGTCCTGTCCATTAGCCGCCAGGGAAATGCAAATCAAACTATGAGATACCACTTCACAGACCCACTAGGATGACTATGACACAAAAGGACAGATGGGGCACCTGGGTGGCTCAGTTGGTTAAGCATTCCACTCTTGGTTTTGGCTCAGGTCATGACTTCATAGGTCATGAGATCGAGCCCCAAATGGGCTCTGTGCTCAGCAGGGAGTTGGCTTGAGATTCTCTCCCCCTGACCCTCCCCCCCATTCGCCCTCTCTCTCTAAAATAAACAAATAAATAAATAATAAATAAAGTCTTTTTTAAAAAGTCGTAAATACATGCGCACGCACACACACCCTCTCATATTTCAATGTTATCTAATTGCTTCTGTAATATGGCCCCACCCCTTTAATCCTGAAAAATTACAAAAGCAGCTCAGGTTCAAGACAAACTTGGAGGAGAGAACTGCTTTTATCTGCTAGACACCTAAGTAATATAGAGAATAGGCCAAATCTCAACACTACTCTTTAGATTGGCTGCTATAACTCCATTTGCTGGGAATAATCTTGACTGCCTGCATGCAGTAGCTGGAGAGTAAAAAGGAAGGGCTGAATCCAGCCTGGGGTAAGGGAGAGATAACTGCATTCACTCACTTCCAAGACGTTGAACACATTTTATCTTTCAAGCTTCTAGGCAATTTTGGTCCTCTGTGGTTAAAGGGTAGTCTTGGAGCAGAGGGCAGAAGGTTGGGATATCAGATTGGAAAAGGAAGGCAAGAAAGAAAAGCATAAATGTCACCATCACAAGCAGGCATACTTATTCTAGAAGGTATGATCATGTGGACGCTGTGTTGGTAAGAACCTGGTGGGGAGCATGGGGCCCCTTAAGCACCACAATTGGGGGAAGTGAATGAAGGTGCTGTAGACAAAGGTGTGGTCAGGTTAAAGGATGGTGAACAGTCTAGAGCAAGAGCATCAGCTCGAGGATGTTTCCATCATTCAGTAAATGGGACAGGAAGAGGGAGAAGTTATGGGGACCTAGAGAAGGGTCGTTGCTGGAGGAGAGGTGGCAGACAAGAGCCATGGCCTTCAGGAGAAGAACATAACCACGAGCAGACCAAGGTCTCCTGGAGAATAAATACTGTGACCTCTTTCCTCCTCTGATCTGTTGGTGTCACCCAAGGGTTGAATCCATTGTACCAGAAGGGCAAGGGAACCAACTGAGGCAGCCCATTGTGACAGCTTCCGAGGAAGCAGAGCTGGGTGCAAAGGGTGGAGGGTAGCTCTGGAGGGACAAATGGGAGAGGATCCAGCACAGACATGGAGGGGGGGAAAGCGTTATTATGCGGGCTGATCCACAAAGTGTTGTTCAGCAGAAGTCAGGACCAGAGGCTTTTGCTCTGATGTCCTGGTTCTCACGATGCTGATGCTTTGCACCTATAAGGAGCTGTCCTGCTCACCAGGGCTCCACACGTCCTCACTCAGCATCACAATACACCTGAGCCTTCGCTCAGATGCTCCTATTTCACACCTGGAGAAACCAAGGCTTGGGGAGCATAACGGTTTCTTCATTCATTCATTCATTCAGAAAACCATTTACCAAGCTCCTCCTGTCCTTCAGTGCTGTCCTCCATCTGTCCTTCAATGCTGTCCTCCATCTGAATGAGCCTGCCCTCTCCTAGCTCCCACCCCCCTGGAGAAGTCAGACAACTAACAGGTAAGCCACATAAACACAAGGGAAAAAAAAAAAAAAAACAGCACAATAATGGAGATACTATGGGAGAGAAGGTGACTGGGGGCTGTAGAGATTGGGAAGTGAACGAGAAGACATTTACATGGAAGCCTGAATGGCAGAAAGGACGTGGCTGTGTATCTGAAGGAAGAGCGTCTCCAGGAGAGGCACAATGAGGCTAAAGCCCCAAGGTGGGAACTAGCAGAAGGCAGACATGTGTGACTGGAGACTGACCACCCAGGCTAGATGGGAAAGACTGGAAAGACTGATCTTAGGGCAACCTCTGGAGGGCTTTGAGTAGGGGAGAGACCTGGAGTCTGTTTTTTTTAAAAAAAAAATCACTTTGGCTACTAGGTGAAGGGATTGTGAGGGATGGGATGGAAGCAGGGAGGCCAGCTAGGAGCCATGTTTAGTGGCACTAACTAGAGAAATCTAGCGCTGGTTGGGTTCAGTGGGTTCAGGGTCTGTCTTGGAGGCAGGGCTCCTGGTCCTTTCTAATGGATGGGCCATGGAGCATGAGAAAAAGAGGAATCAGGACTGAGTCCCGAGTTTCTAGCTTACTTAATTGGACGCACATGGAGCTTAAACTGAGACAGAGAAGCCGGTTGGGGAGAATACCCAGGTCCATGTGTTGGCCATGTCTTGTCTGAGATAGATATATTTCCCAAAAAGAGTGCTGGCAAGGATGTGGGAAATTGAAACTCTGATACACTGTTGCTGGTGGGACCATAAAATGGCGCGGGTTGCTTTGAACAGCAGTCCGGCAGTTCCTCAAAATATTAAACAGTTACCATATGACCTGGTGGTTCCACGCCTTAGTTTATACCTGAAAGAATTAAAAACATACGTTCACACAAAGATGTGTATATGAATGTTCACAGCAGCTTACTCACAATAGCCAAACAGTGTAAATAACTTAATGTCCATCAACGGATGAATGGCCAACAAAACATGGTCCATCCATACAGTGGAATATTATTTGGCCATAAAAAGGAGCGAACCTGGACGAATCTTAACACGATGCTGAGTGAAAAAAGCTAGACACCAAAGACCACATGTTGTATGATTTCATTGACATGAAATGTCCAGAACAGACAAATCCATAGAGACAGAAAGCCACTTAGTGGCTGCCAGGGGCTGGGGGAGAGACTTCTAATGGGTAGGAAGTTTCCTTTTGGGGGCATGAAACTGTTCTGGAACCAGACAGAGGTGACGGTTGCCCAACTTTGTGAACACTAAATGCCACCAAACTGTACAATTTACAAGGGTGGATTTTATGGCATGTGAATGACACCTCAATTAAAAACAGATCAGTCGGAGTTGGCCAGGCATGCGGCGTAGGAACAATGGTTCAGGGACAAGGGACAGCAGGAGCAAAGGCACGGAAGCCAGACACAGGCTGGCAATGACCAATCACGGTGGAAGGAGAGCCTTCAGGATGGCAGTGCCAGCCAGGGAGCCTGGACTCTTCCCCAGAGTGACAGAGACCCTTGAAAATTTGAAGGCAAGGTGCCAGCCTGCAGCCACCTCTCCTTGGAAGGTTCTTGTGTCCTCAACTCTCCCCCCTCCCCATGCCCTCTCTGGCACACTTCTCCCTCGTCCCTCACACGCCGCTCAAGTCCTGCTGTTCGTGGCCCATGTGCCGATGCCAGGCGGGGGCGAGTTTCTCTTCCCACACCACAGGGACAAACATCCCCTCTATACACATCCTTCCAGGGCCCCTCTTCATAAAGGAGAGGCTTGGGGTGAAGGACCCTCTGATCTTGGCTTTCCTCCCGGCCTAACAATGGTCCCTGGGGGCAAGTCACAGAACTTCTCTTTCCAAAAAAAAAAATACAAAGCTCTTGGGGCACCTGGGTGGTGCAACTGGTTAAGCATCCAACTCTTGGTTTCGGCTCAGGTTATGATCTCGGGGTTTTGGGATCAAGCCCTGTGTCGGGCTCCACGTTCAGCATGGAGTCTGCTTGAGATTCTCTCTCCCTCTCCCTCTGCCCCTCCTGCTTCTGCTGACTCTCTCTCTTTAAAATAACTAAATAAAATCTTTAAAAAAAAAAAAAATACAAAGCTCTCAAGCCATCCAAAGGCATGGATCCTAAAGGGATCTCGCTAAGTGAAAGAAGCTGGTTGGAAAAGGCTGTACGTCATAGGATTCCAAGTGCATGACCTGCAAAACTGTGGAGACCATAAAAGATCCATGGTTGCCAAGGGTTGAGATATAGGAGGGATGGAGATGGAGCACAGGGGATTTTTAGGGCAGAGAAACTACGATACCATCACAGTGGACGCAGGTCAAAACCCACGGAATGTACAACACAGAGTGAATGCTAATGGAAACTGTAGACTACAGGTAATAATAACGCACGGGCATAGACTCATCAGTCATTAGAAATGCAGTGTAATGCAAGACCTACATAGTAAGGGAAACAGCAGTGCGGGGTAGAGAGTATATGGGAATTCTGTACTTTCCACTTGTGTTTTTATAAACCTGAAATTGCTCTAATACATAAAGTCTGTCATTAATTAAAAAGACAAACACAGAGCCTGCTGCTGAGAGTCACCGGTGTTATTTTCCTGCCAGCTCAGAGGGAGCTACTTACCCTGCTGAGAGTCACAGGCTTTGGAACAGGTCCTGCTGGCCCGCTTTCTCGCCAGGAGCCGCCGGCATTGACTTCATTCCCCTCCTCATGCCTCAGTTTTCTTATCTGTACAATAGGGACCATGGCGGTTGTGAGGTCTGATGGGATGCCATACAGAACGCACTTGCTTTATCAGCACAGCGGGACACTCCATCCCCAACGGCAGCAGATCCTTCTCCTGCCTCCCCCTCCTTGCGCACTAGGCATCCAAGGACCAGCCCCAGCCATCAATGGTTCATCCATCCTTGAGCCAACCAGGGCCTCGTCCATCCCCCACCCCCCACCCATCCCCAGGGCTGCCCCTTCCCAGCAAATGCTCAGTCATCACAAACCTTTCCTCCTCTGTCCCCTGAAGTGGAGACAAGGTGAGACAGACATTATAATACTGCAGGTGGAACAGCGGAAGTTGCAATTAAGTATCTAGACTCCGGAGCTGGGGGTGCTGGATTAGAATGCCAGCTCCAATAGCCACGTTTGTAGCTCTCAACCAGAGCTATGGCCACACTGGGGCACCTGCCAGAACCCACAGGCAGATCGGGACTGAAGCTGGGGCAGGACTTTGTGAGGGCCCCGAGGCTGCCGGGAGGCAGCGAGGATGCTAACCCGCTAACCTGCGTGCAGCCTGTCCCCAGACCCCAGAGGCCTTGCAGCTGGGCTTAAGGCCACCCAGGGGGCAGCAAGAAAAGGCCGTGTGTCTTGCTGGTGTCTGGGGAACATGAGTTCCCCAGCAAAACGTCCTGCCGCCTGAAACTCAGAAAGGGTTCTGCGCCACCTGGGGACAGACAGTAAATAACTGGGATTCAGGCCCTGGACACTCTGCAGGTTTATTTCTTAAATTCAACTAGGAAACAAAACCTTGGTGCTTGGAAAGGCCCACGTGCAACAGCGCTGGCCCCAGCGTTCATGGGGCTGGATGCCGCTGCAGGAGGAGGGTAGGACGGACGGTCTGGGTGGCTAGTCCCAACCACAGGCGTCCAGGATGAGCCACCAACGAGGCCGATGGGGATGTCCAAGCCATCCCGGCTGTGTCGTCCAGGATGTCACCACCAACGCGGGGTCTGAACTGTCACCAACAAGGCCAGCAGGGATATTCAATGGGCTGGAACCCCCAAGGCCCAAAAGTCCATCTCGGACACCACCCCCAGGCAAGAGGTTTCCCCCAACACCACGGCTGCCACTCCTATGGGTCCCACCAGCAGCCATGCCATATGGGTACACCCGGGAGGTCTCTGCCAGGGTGAGCGCCTGAATGGTGAGCCGAACAGCCACCCAATGCAGTCTTCCAGGCCCCTCTAGCAGGAGCTCCATGGAGGTGCCTAAAAGGAGACATCTGGGCAGGGGCAATGTCCAAGTGGTAACAGTCAATTCTGGAAGCTTCCGGGCATCAGGAAGTGCAGACAGGGTGCGGGAGACCCACCAAAGATGGTTAAGTGCAAAAGGCAACTGGCCCAGCCTGGGAGATCTCTGGCGAGCCTGGAGGTCCCTTGACAATGGCCCCCTACATCCAGGTGGGCAGGGCAGACCACCCGTGGTTCCTCCCCTCAGGAGGGAGGATGGAGGCTCTGCCTGGAGCTCATACAGGGTGAGGATGTGCTGGAGCCCAGCAGCCTAGGGAGGCCCAGACTGAGGCTCCTTAAGGCACAGCTGAGAGGGAGGCCAGGAGGCTCCACTCTGGGTCCATGACCCAGCAGGGACGACCCACAGAGGCCCCGAGGCCTACCGATCCCAGGAGAGAGCAGGGGAGGAGAAAGAGGGAAGAGGTAAGGGCGGATGGAACTGGGGGGAGGCGGAGAAGCAGGGAGAAAACACACACACACACACACACACACACACACACAAACACAGGAGCAGGAATTGAGGCAGAAGAGAGCCCAGAGCGGGGAGGAGGAGAGTGAAGGTAACAGAGCCATGGGCTCCTGCTGGGGTCCAGTTGCTCAGCACCAGGATGGTCCCACCCGGTGCATCTGGACCAGCCCCTCCCCAGGCAGGGCTGTCTGGCTCAAGCCTGCCTCGCCGGCAGGGCCTGCCTAGAAGTCTCTAACGGGTGGAGGAGGAGCGTCAGAGGGCAAAGGCACCCGAGCAGATGCGGGTGTAGACACCCTGGTCCAGGGGCAGGTAGTGGCCCTGCTTCAGGTCCAGGAAGAAGAGCCGGTCTGAGGTCTGGCGTGGGTCGAAGCCCTCGTGCTGCAGTCGAGTCTTCTGGATCTTGAAAGTGCCTGTGGGGGTGAGGATGGGGGTACTCAACAGGGGGGGTTCTGGGAACCCCAAACTCACCATCCTGTCCTACAACTCCAGGCTTCTGCAGAGGCCGTCCCCTCAGCTGGAAACATTCTTCCCCATTTTGCTGCCTGATTCTCCCTTGTCCTTCAGATCCTGACTTCATGCCCCCTCCTCCAGGGAGGCCTCCCTGACCACTACCCCATCACAGCCCCATACACTGTGTATTCCCTGCCTGGGCACGTGTCCACTCCCCACGAGACCAAGGCAGGGCTGAGTCTGCCACACAGTAGATCAGGGGTCAGCAACCTGTAGCTGAGAGCCAAACTCAGCCCATCATCTGTTTTGTAAATAGTTTTTATTAGCACGAAGCAACACCCACTCATTTACACACCGTCTAGGGCAGCTTTTGCACAACAGAGGCAGAGGTAAGTTGTTGGGACAGAGACTACATGGCCCGAAAAACAGAATATTTACTATCTGGTCCTTTAAGAAACAGTTTGCACTCCCTGCAGTGGACAATTAAAGAAATGTTCTATGAAAGATAAGGCTAAGGGGCAGGGTGAGGAGGAAAAAACCCAGGCAGGAGACCTGTGTGCGTTAGAGTTGGGAAGGTTTCTCGTTTTAAATAAAACTTCAAGGGGCGCCTGGGTGGCTCAGTTGGTTGGGCGACTGCCTTCGGCTCAGGTCATGATCCTGGAGTCCCGGGATGGAGTCCCACATCAGGCTTCCTGCTCAGCGGGGAGTCTGCTTCTCCCTCTGACCCTCTTCCCTCTCATGCTTTCTATCTCTCATTCTCTCTCTCTCTCAAATAAATAAATAAAATCTTCAAAAAAAAAAAAACCTTTAAAAAATAAATAAATAAAACTTCAAAAGCACAAACCATAAGATTAAAAAAAAAAAGGTAAGTTTGTATCAAAATGAAGGGCTTCTTTTCAACAAAGGCCCCATTAACAAGGTTAACAGACTCCCAAAGAGAAGACTCCTGATGTCCGAAAGTGCTAAGGAATTAACATCTGGAATATTAGGAGAAACTCATCAGTCGAAAAGAAAAAAGACAGCAAGGCTACACAAAGATAGGCAAAAAATACAAACAGCTGATTTACAGGAGTGGAAACCTCACAGGTACGAGATGAGTTGCTCAAATTTCCTAGTCATCAGAAAAATGCGGGCAATGGAAGAAAGGCGCCAGACACCGCAGAATGCCTAGTGGGGCTGGGATCAACAAATGGGAATAAATAATAGTGCAAATAAAATTAGAGAAGGGCCCTACGGGCACCCACGGTGCCCACTGACCATGAACCATTGCAATCAGACTTGGCAGGGGGGCCTAAACCAGGACAAATAAGCAAATGGTTGCTGAACCAACAGACAGATGGATGGACAGACAGAGAGGTGGGAGGCCGCACCTGTGGTGTCCACCTGGGGCAGGAGGCGTAGGAAGATGGGCCGGGCATAGGGCGCCAGGACCTTCTGCAGCTCTTGGTACAGCGCATTGGGGCTCAGCTGGCCGTGGGGGTCCGCGATGGCCGCCATGCCTGCTTTGCCCTCCACTCCTAGAGACAGAGGTTTTGCTGAAAACACCCCACCTTTTGTCTCACCGCAGGACTGGATACACCCTCAAACAGAGGCCCCTGGCCTCTGATCTCCAGTCCCTTCCATCTGAGATAACATTTGCTGAAGCAGTCACGATGTTACTGAGCTCCTGCAGCACTCCCTGCAACCCTGAGACAGTCGCTTTCATGATCCCATTTTCTGGATAAGGAAACCGAGGTTGATTATCATTCATGAGGGGTGACTCCAGATCCAGTGCTCCCACCCAGGCTGCCGTGTGCAGTGACCCAGGTTGAGCACTGCCCAAGGGCACCTGTGCCTCCAAGCTTGTGCAGGTTTGGCTCCTCTGGGGCTGCCATACCCTAGGACCACCCCCACAACCCCAGCTTGCCTGGCACAGACACCCCGTACACAGCCACGTCTGTCTGGCCCAGCAGGCGGCTCAGCACGCTCTCCACCTCTGTAGTGGAGACATTCTCCCCACGCCAGCGGAAGGTGTCCCCGCCGCGGTCCCGGAAGTACATGTAGCCCAGCTCATCCATCACCAGCACATCACCTGGCAGAGGGGAGCCGGGGAGGTGAGATGGTGGCCCACCACCCCCACAGCCAGCGCCCCCAGGGTCTTCGCACCTGAGAGGTAGGCACTGTCACCCTTGCGGAAGACACTGTGGGCAATCTTCTTGCTGGTGGCACTCTCACTGATGTAGCCATCGAAGCGACGCAGCGGGTCCTGCTGGTTGATCTGGCCCACAAGGAGGCCGGGCTCCCCTGGGGAGGAGGCCACCCTCAGGCTGCGCTGGGTGGGCAGGGAGGGTGTGGGGGCCCCAGTTCCCCAGGGGACTGGGCAGGGCCTGGCTCACCGGCCTGACATGGGATACAGAGGCCCTGGGCATCCCGAAGTAGTTCCATGGTGTCCTCATTGACCTTCACCAGCCGGATGGGGTACACATGGGGTAAGATACGGCTGTTAAAGCCACAGGAGCCGACCTGGGATGGAGCGAGCCGAGTTGATGAGGAGCCCCGGGGGGCACGGCGTCCTCCCCACTGACACCTTGCCTCTCCTGCCCCAGGGCCTGGAATTAGTTCAGGCAACCCCTGCATTGCCTGAACTCTGTGACCTTGGGTGATCTGAAAAAGGGGGTCTTAAGGGCAGTGCCTCCTTCCCAGGACTCAGGCCCCCTCCTCCCACCTTCCCAGCCTCCTCCACATTCATGTGAGGAAACCTACTGACTGGTCACCACCTCCTGGTCCATAAAACCCTCTATACTGGCAGGAAGTACACGCCTAGAATGACCCTGGAGCCCGCTGCCCACTGCATGTCACCTTGCCTGGCTCAGTCCGATGAGTAGAAATGCCTGTCTCTGTGCTGTTGGGTATGTTTGTTAGAACAGCAACTTCTGTTAGCGTGGCCAGAGTATCTTCTGGGGCTGTCTATTCAACAGATATGCATGGGGGGTGGGGGGGTGGGCAGGGCCTGGTTCTCAGGTACTGGGGCCCCAACACGGAGACAGACACAAAGCAATCCCTGCCCCCAGGCGCTTGCTTTATAATCATTCTCCTGATCTATGCCTGGCTTGGTAAGGCTTGATAAGAGAGGGTCCTGCTCAGGCAGAATGGAGACAGTGATTGCTAATCATAAATGCATCTGCAGAGAGCCTGCTACCTGGGGGTGCTGTGCTGAGCTCATGGTCCCAGTGAGCTATCATCCCCATTTACAGATGGGGAAACCAAAGCCCAAGGAGTCTGAGTGACTTACCTGGTAGGAGGGGATGGGCACCCCAACCCCGGCCCAGGATCCCCCAGAGCCCTGCTCTCCCCTGCCACCGAGGCTCAGAAAGGCTGAGGCCCTGGCCCAAGGTACCCGGCCTCGCGGAGGACTTGAACTCTCGTGGCACAGACCCAGGACTGTGTATGCCCTGGCAGTCCTGGGAGCTCCCCCTTCCCCCGCCCGGTGCGCCTGGCCGGGCCCTCCCAGCAGGTCAGGCTGTTCTAGGAGAACGCGGGGGCCAGGGAGGCCGAGGTGGCCGCGATCCCCAAACCCTATAACCTGCCCGCGCCACCCCTCGGCCGCCCACCTTGCCGTCCATGTTGGCAATGCTGCAGTTGCACTCGGTGGCTCCGTAGAACTCGCCGATCTGGCGCACGCGGAAGCGCTCGGTGAACTCCTCCCAGATGGCCGGCCGCAGCCCGTTGCCCACGGCCAGGCGCACGCGGTGCCGCCCCTCGGCCTCGCGCACCGGCTGCTTCAGCAGGTAGCGGCAGATCTCCCCGATGTACTGGACCACCTGGGGGATGGGGGGAAGCGAGGGGTGGGCCCGAGGGGAGTCATCCCTCCAACCTGGGCGCTAAGAACAAATCGGTCTTAAGGGCCATGTAACAACCGCCCCCCCGCCCCCCGGCCGTTTACGCCTACCCCTTGCTGAATCCTCACTTGGGGGTGGGGGGTGTGGGCAGAAGGATGCATTCAGCGTCCCCCATGCCCCTCGGCTGCCCTTACATTCCCCACACTGCTTCCGGGGACCCACAGCAGTGCAGGAAGGTGGGGCGCACCGCTGACACCCCACAGGGCAGCCCTCAGCCCAGAGCCACGGTCGGAGGCTGTCCCCCACAGCCCTAGCTCCGGGTGTGCTCGGCGCTGCCTCTCTGAGCCCCAGTTGCCAACCGGGTCCCTTGCTCCTTGGCGCCCCCCTGCAGGGCTCCTTCCCTCCCTGTCTCAAGGATCCACTCCTGGAGGGTCATTTCCCAAATACCCCAGGGGCCTACCAGTCCTCATCTCTGGGTTGACTTCCAAATGATTACCACCACCACCCCCAGTTTTACTGAGGGCCACCAACAGTAAGTACCTGAACCAAAGCTGATAAGTGGTAGAAGCTGATTTGAATCTGGGCAGCCTGGCCCCAGAGTCTGAATGAAGAAGTTACATGCTCGGGATTAACCGCCAGGCTGATCATCACAGCTCCAAAGCACTGACAGCTTCCCCTCACACACAGGATGAAGTCCAAATTTCTGCCAGTGGCCAATTCCCTCTGGCCCCACCGTCCTCCCTGCCTCTTCTTCCATTTCCCACCAACAGCTGCTGCCACACAGGGCTCCTCCTCAGGGCCTTTGCACATGCTGTGCCCTCTGCCTGGCGCCTTCTTCCCCGGGACGCATCTGGGCCCTCAGGGTTTGAGGCAAAGATCACTGCCACGGAGAGACATTCCCTGAACAGCGCTTGCTAAATCTCTGATGAATAAACAAACGTGCTAAATATTCTACCCGCCAAGCACAGAGCTCATTTGTTTAATTCTCCCGACACCCCACGCTGGACATGAAGGCACTGAGATCCACAGAGGGAAACAGCATGCCCAAGATCATCAGCTGCTGACCAGGCGGTAAGCAGGGTGGGGCAAGATCAGAATGATATGGTGCTGAGTTCTCTCCCTCCCCCCTAGGCTCAGGTCCGTACTATGTCCGTGGCCCAGCCCATCTCATCTCTAGGACCATAGGGCATGGCCTGGCCAATCAGCCCAGTCCATCCCCAGCTACTAACTGGTTCAAGGATGAGCACCTGACTAGAATTAGACCAATGAGAATCAGCCCTGGGGCGTCTGATAAACCGAGAGGAAGAGAGAGGCTCTTTCTCTTCTGGAGCTGCTGGGAACCTTCCCAGAGAAGCAGGGCAGCGCTGCTTCTTCTTCACTTCTTCCCAGGGCTGGGAAGGAAGCTGTACACTCAGGAAGGAGGAAGACAAGAAATAGAGAAAGACAGAGGCACTCCTGGATCAGGCTGTGCCTGAAGCTGTCCCCATGTGGCCTCTTTCAGGTCCATGAGTAATAAATCCCCTTCTTCAGGAAGCCAGGGTTTAGGTTAGGCTTTTGGCTCCTGTCAAATGACACAAAGTCCTGCCCACCCTCCAAACCATCACCAGGTAGTCCCGGCCATGCCCTGAGCAGCTCTCAGCTGTCCTCTTCAGGCCAGGGGAGGAGCAAGTCAGCCATGATTGAGGCAGCTAGGGGACAATGACTTCTCATGGCCCTGAGGCTGTGTCCCTGCACTGAGAACAAACACTTGATCTTTACCTCTGGCCTGGACCCTCGGACAGACCCTGGGCTGAAGGGAAGACCGCTCAGGTCAGTTCAGAGAGGCAGACACCACATCCTTCGAGGATTCTGTCTATTCCTTAAAGGGCCCCTCAGTGTTTAATGGGTACCTTCTCTTGACACAGAAATTCCCTTCTTAGAAACAGGACAGACTATCAAGGGTCCAGAGACAGTGAGCAGTGCCCAGTGGAGTACGGCATGTCAAGGACAGAGAGGGACCCCAGACCCTGCGGGCCTCCCACAAAAAAAAAGTTGAACTTGAAGCTGATCAACTATCTAGACCAGGGGTTCTCAACCACGGGCAACTCTGTCTTCACAGAACACTTGGCAACATCCGGATACATTTTTAATGCTCACAACTGGGGTGGGGGTGCTACCGGTATCTAGTGCTTTCAGGTCAGGAATGCTGCTGAATATCCTACAGGGCACAGGACAACCCCCGCCCCCAGAATGGTCCAGCCCCAGATTTCCTTAGCATCATGCTGAGAAACACTGTGATGGACCCAACGGACAGGAAATACCGGGGACAGAGGAACATGTTAAGAGACACCCCAGCAATACCCAGAAAATACTGTAGGACACACAACCCTTCAGTAAATACAAGACAAAAAAAGCGAGAGAGAAGGGGCTCCTACAGATGAAGGGATTCTCATGAGACACATCGACTGGTCAAAATGTGTGGGTCTCCTCTAAAAACGGATTTTTTCAAATTATAGAAACAGGGGAAACCCACATTTTGACCCAGTGAGACACTGTGGATGGAGCTGCTGCCCAGATTCCTGATGACACTGAGAGGTCAGTGTTACTTTTTGGCTGTGATGATGGTGCTGAGCTTACAGGTGTTTTTTATTTTTTTCCTTTTTTTGTTGCGTTCACATATAATAATACAAAATTTACCATCGTAAGCACTTTTAAGTGTAGAGCTTGGTAGTATTAAGGACACTCACACTGTTATGCAGCCACCACCATCCTTTTATTTTGTAGAACTGAGACTTTTTATTTTGTAGAACTGAGACTCTGTCCCCACTAACCGCTGACGCCCCACCCCCTCCCCCAGCCCCAGGTCCCCGCCATCCTACTTCTTGTCTCTACGACTGTGACTGCTCTCAGTCCCTCATATAAGGGAATCATACAGCATTTGTCTCTTGGTGACTAGCTTATTGCCCTCAGCACAATGTCCTCGAAGTTCATCCATGTTGTGGAACGTGCCAGGAATCCTTCCTCTTTGAGGCTGAATAACATTCCGTCATATGAATGCGCCACATTGCGCTTATCCATTCACCTGCTGGTGGCCCCTGGGTGGCTTCCATGTTTTAGTTATTGTAAATCATGCTGCTGCGAACAAGGGTGTACAAACATCCTTGCAAGACCCTGCTTTCAATTCTTTTGTTTTAACAATAGCCCTTACCAGACACAAAAGGCCACATAGTGTATGAGTCCCACTTATAAGAGATGTCCAGAACAGGCCAACCCATAAAGACAGAAAGCAAGTTAGGGGTTGCCTCGGGGGCTGGGGGTGAGGGGACAAGAATGGGGAGTGACTGACTCCTAATGCAGACGGTTTGGCGTGATGGAAACGTTCTGGAACTAGACAGAGGTGGTGGTTACACAACACTGTGAATACCCAAAACACCACTGAACTGTCCACTTTAAAAATGGTTTCTTTTGGGGCGCCTGGGTGGCTCAGTCGGTTAAGCCACTGCCTTCGGCTCAGGTCATGATCCTGGAGTCCTGGGATCGAGTCCCACATCGGGCTCCCTGCTCAGCAGGGAGTCTGCTTCTCCCTCTGACCCTCCCCCCTCTCATGCTCTCTATCTCTCATTCTCTCTCTCTCAAATAAATAAATAAAAAAGATAAAAATGGTTTCTTTTATATGACTTTTGCCTCAAAAACAAGACAAAATGGTTCTCATCTTTCAGAGGTTTTCTGGAAGCATCTCTATGAAGAACACACATTGCTCTCCGGGGGCTGCTTCACAATGATGAAGAAGGAGGGATGTGGGTGGGGCTAGAGGGGGCACAATGGGGTGTCTGAAGGCCCTCTGGGGCCAGTGACAGTGCTTGGGAATTGCCTATACTTTCTGTCCACATCCATGTACACAGACTTTGCCCGCTCCCCGAAAACAGAGCGTTCCTAGGAAAGCTTTCATAAGCTGAAACGACGTCAAGCAAAGCATATCCCCTGCTTTCTAAAAGTCTGAATTACATTTCACTTTTACGAAAGACCTGCATTAGTACCAGAATGCGGTTTTGTTTTGTTTTTTTTCCGTAAAAGAAAAAATGCTCTTCGGATTTCTTTTGGTTAGTGAAATCAGGTACCGATGTAGGTCTTTCCCCACAGCGAAGCCATATAACTGGCACTCTCAGAGAGTGGGGGATAGCTGTATTCACAACTCTCGATAATCAAGTTAATAAAACAGATTGTTTCGCCTTTCAAGACTTGGTTTAACAACAATCCTCCAGGGTTCCCCACAAGCAAAACGGAAAATCCTCAAAAGTGGAGCAGATCACAGCCGTTGCCCCCAGGGGTCCCTAGGTTGCCAGCCCAGAGCCCCCACCCTGCCCAGCTGTGTGACCTGGGCAGCCAGCCTAAACTCTCTGGGCCCCACCTGTCCAAGGTGAGGTGGGCACCTGCCAATGTGTCAGTCCCTGGCCACAGACCATTCTCTCCTCTCCTCTCCTCACCCCTTCTTCCTGGAGGAACGTGCTGGCACCTGTATGTCTACCGCCATCAGGGCACTGAGATCCTCAGCCTGGTTTCCTCTCACCGTGGAGGGGAGAAGAGAGGAGAGGACAGGGCCCAGCACCCCCCTCCTCCCCTCCCTCCCCCTCCAGGACCATGGATGTCATCCACCTCTACCTCATGCTTACCCCATCTGGTAGCCCCACACCTAACCAGCCCAGGGGGATGACTGGACACACTGGTCTCATTTCCTGATTTCCAGCAGCTACCAGCAGGGAAGATGCCGGGGGCACAGGGCGGACTCTTTAGAGAACTCAAGCAGCCTGGGCCCAATCCCAGCTGCAGTACAGGCCTCAGTTTCCCCACCTGCAAAATGGTCTTTGTGATGCCTTTGCCCATTCTCACGCAGTCATGTGGATCCACTGAGTTTACACGGGGGAAGGTTTAGCGTGGGGCTGGCCACCCTCCTGTCCCCCTCCAGAGTGGCCATTCCGGCCATTGGAGGGGGAAGGCTGGAGGGCGGGCGGGAGAGTGGCTGCACCACAAGGGTGGCCCAGCAGGTGGAAGGCGGTGGGCCGGCGCAGGAGGGGCGGGGCCTGACCGTGCAGTTGTACTTGACGCAGTCATCCCAGAAGCGGCTGGCTGAGAACTTCTTGCGGAGGACCACCGTCAGCCCGTAGATGAGACACTGCCCCACGCCCATGATGTTACCTGCAAAGGGCGGGCTCGGTGAGGAGTCCCCAGTCCCTGCCCCCCACCCCACCCCCACCTGCCCGAAGTACCTGCCGAGTGATACAGGGGCAGGCAGTCATAGAGCACGTCTGCCACCTGCATGCTGTAGGCGTGGTGGCCGAAGGCTGCAATGCGGTAGTACCTGCAGGGGCGGGGAGTGCAGGGGCTGGGACTTACATCCTCCAGGGCATGGGAGTAGGGGGAGCATGGCGAGGGAGGGAGGGACACAGCAGGGACCCAGGCAGAGCCAGCCCAGCTCACAGGGGTGGGGGAGAAGAACATGCTGCCAATAATTATCCATGGTGCTAGGGGCCATGAGGAATACAAGAGAGCTGAGAAACGGAGAGGGGCTGAAGGTGACACAGCCAGAGAGGTTGGGGGATCCTGTGTGGAGAGGTGACACATGAGCTGAGACCTCGTGAGAAGGAGCCATGGCGGGGCGGGGGGCGGCGAAAGCTGGGGAAGAGCGTCCAGGTGGTGGGCGCAGCATGTGCAAAGGCCCTGAGGCTAGAAGGACCGTGGCAGATCTGAGGACGTGTAAGGAGCCGAGGGCATGAGCAAGGGGTGGAGAAGAGCAACAGGACAGCAGAGAATTGGCAGGCGGTGCACAAGGCGAGCATGGGTTTTACTCCGAGGGCCAAGGCAGATACAGGGAAGTCTGGCACAGGGGAGGTCTGGTTTAGGATTTTTTAAATCCTCCTGTGTCCACTGAGGGCAACAGGGCCATTAGGGGTGGGAGAAAGAGCAGCAAGAGACCAAGGAGGGACACAGAGCAGCACTGTCCTGAGATGGGCCGTGGGTTTTACTGGGTTAAGATAGAAATGTCCCCAAGATCCCAACAAGATCTGAGGGAAGGGGTCAGCCGTAGAGGCGACCTGGAGTCACTCCCCAAAGCTGGGGTGAGGCCCACGGGCCCCTTACCTGCTGTGCACTACAATGGCAGCCTTGGGCAGCCCTGTGGTCCCCGAAGTGTAGATATAGAAGAGTCGATCTGCAGGAGAGGCGCGTGTTGGGGACTGAGGACCGGGTGGGTGGGGTGAGGGGACAGGGTGGGCATTGGCGGAAGAAGGGCATCCCACCCTGGCCTCACCATCCATGCCCTTGTCAGGGGGCTGTGCCAGGGGGGCTGTGGAGGCGTCCCTCAGCAACGGGTCCAGGAGCTGGGTGTCCGGCAAGATGCCCTCGGGCCCCAATTCTCCAGAGCAGAACTTGAGCAGGCTCTTCCCCAGCCGTCCGCTCACCTCGGCCACCACTGCGGCCCAAAACATACGTCACGGTCAAGGACAGCCAAGGCCTGGGAGGCACCACACCATCTCCCAGCCCTGGAAACCCCAGGGTCCTGGCCCAAGATGATAGCTGCACCCAGCCTCACCTGCCGCCAGCTCCCCTCCGAAGATGAGGGCCTTGGCACCCGAGGTGCCCAGGCAGAAGGCCAGGGGCTCGCGCCGTAGGTTAACGTTGAGCAGAGCAGCTTCCACACCCACCTTGGCCAGGCCCAGCCAGAGCCCCACGAACTCTGGCCGGCCCTCCAGGAAGATGGCCACCACGTCACCTGGCGTGAAGCCCAGCTGGCAGAAGAGGTTGGCCACAGCATTGGAGTAGGCGTCCAGCTGCGCGAAGGTCCAGCACACATCACTGCCCGCGTCCACCAGTGCCAGGCGATCCGGCTGCCGCCGCGCCACCACCTGGAAGATCCGCGGGATGGTGTGGCCGGCGCGCTGGTGCCGCCGCAGCTCCAGACGTACACGGATCAGCACGAAGAGGCCGCTGGGAGTGGGGGATGGAGGGGATGGCGTCACTGGGTGCCCTGCCTGGCCTCCAGGAGACCTCTCCAAGCCTCAGCATCTTCATCTGGAGAAAGCAGAGGGAAAGGTCCCTGCGCCCCCAAGGATGGCAAAGGTTCAATAAGGACCTTTTGGTTGCCTGGTCTCTTGGGGTACTAAGGGCATAGAAAGGGCTATTTACCAGCCAACCCAGAAGTACACACATTGTCAAAGCTGGCCATGCCATGCCATGAAAATCAGAGTTACTCTGTCCTTCTCCACCCCAGCTAGCTCAGTGACCCTGAGGGAGCGGAGGCCCCAGTCCTATCCTTCTTTCTCTCTCCTGGGACTACCAGAGCCTCCCATGGACCCCACCACCACCTTCAGCCTGGATTTCTTATGCTCCACCCACCCCAACCTGGCGTCCTCATCATCTCCTCCAGGAAGACTTCCAGGGCTCGGCCCCTGCACGTGCCCACTGCTCCCCCATCAAGGCATAGAGTCCCCCAAATGGGGCCAGACTGGGGCAGGCACTGGCTGTGCTCAGAAAATGCTCTCTTGCCCACCTTGGGAGCTCTCCCTATCCCCTATACTCCATCAAAGCCCCTGTGCAAAGCCACTCGGTAATGAGTGTATTCCCCCCACCCCCAGATTGTGAGCACCCAGGGGAAGTCACATCTGCATTGGCCGAGGAGCCTGGCACATACCAGGTGCCCAGTAAACAGGCCGGACTGGGCTCATGTCCTCAAACCTGGACCTCAGTGTGCCCTCCATCCCTAGAGGTAGCAGCCAGCACAGAGGCAGACTCTCCCACTCCTCTCCCAAATAATAAGCACCTACCATATGCCAGGCCCAATATGGGCAAGACCCAGTGGTGACCCAGACATAACCCTTCTCCCCCTCCAACTTTCTCCCACTCCACCTCCCTTTCCATCCTCCTCCCCCTACCACCTCCCCCTTGCTCACTCACTCCAGCCGCAGGGCTTTCTTGCTGTTCCTTGAGCACACCCGGCACGCTCCTACCTCAGGGCCTTTGCACAGGCCATGCCCTCTGCCTGGACCACTCTTCTGCCAACATCCACATGGCTCCTCCCCCCACTTCCATCAGGTCTTGGCTCAAATGCCACCCTCTCGGGTGGCCATTCCTGGACACCCATCTGTTACTGTACCACCACCCCCCTTTCTGGTCCCTGCTTTGTTTTGTTTTGTTTTTTTCAACACAGCACTTATACTGTCAAATACCATATGCAGGGTACTGACCTACCATCTTGCTCCTGGGCTATTTCTCCCTGTTCTGGATGACAGGGACTTATGTCTATTTTTGTTCTAGGCCCTGGAGAGACAGCAGTGGAGATAGACTGAGGCCCCACTCTCCTGGAATGCAGTGAGCCTGCCACAAATAATCCCAAAGGACAGTGTTGGAGGGAGAGAGAGAGGCATCTGGATCTCCCAGGCCAGGCCTGAACCCTGCAGCCCCAAAAAAGCAGTCACATCTCTGTGGCTGGCCAGATATTTGGTGAGAGGAGGGGCAAGGTCTCAGGGCAAGACTGCTGTGAAGAGGGGCAGGCATGGGGACAGCTGTGAGGAGCATAAACAAAGGGTCTTGGGCAGGTTGCTGCCCACCGGTTCCCTCTGGGTGCCTGCCCTGTTACTCTCAGGGTGACCAACAGCCTCCAATCCCAGAGCTCTGCTCATCGAAGCCTCTGTTAGCAATGACCAGGGGAAGCATCTGACCAGGAGCCTGGCACATAGTAGGTGCTCAGCAAACAGAGGCTGAATGACTACATTCAAGCCCCTGAACCCAGAGCCCAGCATCCCGCCCCTCCCTGGTGACCAGTGCAGAGGCACGGATTCCTTCAAGCCCCAGACGGCAGTGAGCACCTGCTTTGCAGAGGCGAAGCTGATCAGGCGGGAGAAGCAGATCAGTGGGAGCTGGGGGCCAGGGCTGGGGCTGGGGGACTAGAATACTGAAGGCAAAGGGGCAGGAGGAGTCTTGTGGGGAGATGGGAATGTTCTGTATCTTGATGGTGGTGGTTACCTGGATGTGGACCTTTGTCAAAACCCCAAACATACAGTTAGCGTGGGTGTATTTTATTATATGTAAGTGATACCTCAAAAACAGCCCATGAGGGCGCCTGGGCGGCTCAGATGGTTAAGCGTCTGCCTTTGGCTCAGGTCATGATCCCAGGGTCCTGGGATCGAGTCCCACATCGGGCTCCCTGCTCCTTGGGAGC